GCAAAGATCCAAACCCAATGTTGACCTGTACCAAAGGGGTAGATGTCAAACAGCTGCTCAATTCTTCCAATGCACTTCATACTGACAAGCTGCCAAGTGCCCCTCTCAGAGACAGTTTCCTATTGATTATGGAAGACCCATGGGGTGAAAGAAAAACAAGACCTGGATCCTGTTGCGATGTGACGTTGGTCAGGTGATCGGCAGATTGAAAATCTGGAATAAAAGATGGGAGATTGGGATGAGAGTGGGTTCTTGTCTTCGTCTTCCTGCTTTTCATCATCTACTTTCACTGCTTGCAAAATGATATGTGTACGTCAGAGTGTGCAGGCAGGCTATACATTGTGCCACTCTAAAGTCAACAGAAGGATTTCAATGGAGAAGCATCCTGCGCGTCTTGTGACCATCTTTCTTCTTTTCGCCATCGCATGCCTTGTTTGCTCTGCCGTACTTTACATGCATGCCATAGATACTTGCAATCCACTTGCTCTGTCACACATGCGTATTGCAGGGACACACTCATAATGCAGTAAATGTACAGAGTGCAAACAGCTTCATCAACAATCTCTAAGTGCTTGAGATTGCTTCTTCCCTTTCCATCTCGCCCCACTTTCCTACCTTTCCCCTCTCTCTTCCCCTCTTTTCCCCCTGTTACCCTCGTTCTCCCTCCTCTTTCTCCTCCTCTTTCTCCTCCTCCTCTTTCTCGCTCCGCTTTCTCCTCCTCTTTCTCGCTCCTCTTTCTCCCTATTCCACCCACATTTGTGTTTGTCAAGGAAGGCGCACTTTCATCAAGGTGATTGTGCCCCTTGAACAAAAAAAGAGGGAAAAAAAAGGAACGAGAAGTAGCAGATCATACCTGATGATGATGACGAGGATAATGATCAGATGCTCATTTTTCAAAATAATTTCTGATATCCCGACGCCTTACGCTTGCACATTCTGGATTCTCTTTCGTGCTCAATCTCCATTCATCCTTTTTCTCGACTTCTGGGACCACCTCCTACTCTCAAATGCGAGTCTCCAGACTCTCCACACTGTGTTGAACAACAAGTGTCTTGTGCTTTGTTACTGCCAAACTCAGTTTTGGTTTGATCTCTCTTTATTTAAGTTTCTTATTAAAACTTTTAAGTGCTGCCAATGGAATGCTTCCTAGAACTGCCATTTCGTCATAATGGACATCTTTTATTTTTTGAACGAAATTGAAACTGAGTTTTTTGGCCGAAAACTCGTCAAAATTTGCTGTTCCTGAGGGTCCAGCGTTTTACAAACGCTGGACCCCCTGGTTGTACATGGACCTAGCTTGAGACCAGGTACCTCCAGGCAGTCCTGCCTCCAGGCAGTCCTGCCTGGAGGTACCTGGTCTCAAGCTAGGTCCATGTACAACCAGGGGGTCCAGCGTTTGTAAAACGCTGGACCCTCAGGAACAACAAATTTTGACGAGTTTTCGGCCAAAAAACTCAGTTTCAATTTCGTTCAAAAAATAAAAAATGTCGATTTTGACGAAATGGTCGTTCTAGAAACACACACCGTGTGTGTGTGTGTGTGTGTGTGTGTGTGTGTGTGTGTGTGTTGCCTGGTGGCCATTCTGTGGGAATTCCAAAAATGGTGGTGATTTATAGAACTTTGACAAGTGTCTTTTGTCAGTTTCTGAATTATTTGATTATCATGTGGATGAGTATTTACAAATAATATATGACCATTTGAATTTTGAACGAATTAGAAAGAACACTGCTTCTAAATCAATAATAGCGATTTCATTTCGTAATTCGAACAGAGATATGGATGAAAGCCTGTCTGTCCACCTCAAGCACCGATGGCGTGTATGGAATCTGCTAGTAATTTCAGTGTGGGGTGAGAGTCTGTGCGGTTTTCATGTGCTGATTTCACCCCTTGCGCTTCGCAAACAGCAGGCCTGCTCCTATCGCGGAAGTTCTGCCAGCCGCGTGCCAAGGTCCTTCCCCACCAATGCCTCTTCGCTTTCCTGTAGTCCCTCCTGTCCCTCCTGTCCCTGCGGTGCCGCCTTGCCCCACTTTTTTTTTCTGGGCCTGCGGACAGCGTTACGCGATCCCGGTTTTACTTTTAGTACGATTAGGGAAACGGTCATCAGATACTATTCCAGGGTACCACTTTCAGATACTGTCCGAGGGTATCACTTTCATGTCCCAGGGTACCGCTTTCAGTATACCGAGTATTAGGGAGAGGGTGTGCCGGTGCCATGTATCCACTGAATGTGGGGTGCACCTTGCTCACAAGCACAACTCTCTCTGCTTATGCTCAGTGCTGGCACGCTCGCCTCTCCTTACTTACGCTCCAAAGCACATCTCTCCCTGCTTATGCTTGCAACCACACCTCCCCCTGCTTATGCTTGCAACCATTCCCCCTGCTTATGTGTTCCTATAACTTCCTAAACTTCCTATTGATTAAAGCAATGCCAAACTGACAGACACGATGAAAGATCTGCATCTGGTGATCACACACCCTGAGGCAACACCATAGGGGTTAAGAAGCATGGTGGTTATTCAAGAAAGGGAATCTGTTTGCACTCAGCCCAAGCAACTTGCCACTCTCCCTTTTGCCCAAAAATACACGCTGAGTCGCTGACCTCATATAGGCTCATATGTATCAAGCCGAACAAATAAAGCGCCGCACCGTCGGCTGAACAGTGGAGAAACAAGTTGGCAAACAACAGACTGTTCAGCCGACGGTGCGGCGCTTTATTTATTCGCGGGGTATTCCTTTTTATCGGGATATGCTAAGGACAGGAAGAGATGGCACACAAATTAATGAACCTCACAGATCCATTTGACACCGAGACCAAACCTCTGGGGAAGCGTGTGGGGATACATTTTCTCCTTATCTCTCAGGTCTCGACCAATCAATCCAGCCCTATTAGAACAGCTATTAAACAAATTTCTAAACCTACTGCCGATGACACTAGCAGCAAATCTTGTGTAGATTCTGCGAACATGAAAGTTATAAACTACCATCCGATTCCCGTGGAACCAAACTTGGATTATCAGCCAGTAAAAAACCTGTGTCGCAAACTTAGATTATCCGCCTGTTGATCAAATTCTGAAGCCACCGAAGAAGCTACTCCACACACACACACACACACACACACACACAGAGAGAGAGAGAGAGAGAGAGAGAGAGAGAGAGAGAGAGAGAGAGAGAGAGAGAGAGAGAGAGAGAGAGAGAGAGAGAGAGAGAGAGAGAGAGAGAGAGAGAGAGAGAGAGAGAGAGAGAGAGAGAGAGAGAGAGATTCAACGAAAAAGATATTTCAAAAGGGAGGGAGAGAGAAAGAAGGATATACACCTGAAGCCAGTACTTACAAAAGAGCTTTCCTAGAGGAAGAGAGCCTGACAACTGAAGCCTTGACATCAAGGAAGCACTAATCACCAACCTCCAGAGCATACTCACACTGAGAATCTTCAGGATACCAGGCAACAATCATAGGCAGTCCTGGATGTATCTGACTGTGATTATGTCCAGAAGTCAGCATACAGTGAGTACGCCTTCAATTCTACAGATTTTCTACACAAATGGCACAAGAGACCCCACCCATTTCCTCCCATTTACTGCCTTCCCACCGACCAAGAAAAAGTTGATATTGCCCTCAGTAACAAACTGCCATATCCATTCATTATAATTGGCAATAAAAATACGTAAATTGTCACAGAAGGATGCTAAGATACTATGAACCCAAGATGCAAAAAAAAAAAAAAAAAAAAAAAAAAAGGAAAAGGACAGAGAAATTTGAAGACGAGAAAACCAGCAGGTAGAATGCTAGGCTGGTCTTTGCAGCTTGCAAAGAAATACAGCACACCCAGTGTCTATCATGTACATATGACACAAGTGGACGGAAAATGAATGCCACGTTCGCATCGCACAGTCAATCCGAAAACAACCCAACCTACGGGGGCCATACGAGCATCAGTGGACCATTTATATATATCGTCACAGCCCATTGTTTGTTGTCCTCTTCTCCCTCTCAGCCTACGGTTTACCAGGCAGTTCTGTTTGTGACGATATATATATATATATATATATATATATATATATATATATATATATATCGTCACATATATATATCGTCACAAATAGAACTGCCCGGTAAACGGTAGGCAGAGAGGGAGAAGAGGACAACAAACGAGGGGCTGTGACAAACTGTTTCGTCGGAGTTTCACCGACTCATCAGGTCACAGCCCCTCGTTTGTTGTCCTCTTCTCCCTCTCAGCCTACGGTTTACCGGGCAGCTCTGTTTGCGATGTGTGTATATATTGTCACATCACTACAAACTAAAAGAGCGCACTTTGCGGAACAAAGAATAAAAGCAAAAAACGGGCACAGTGATAACATGCAAAAATAAAAATAAAAAGGAAAACAAAAAGAAAAAACAAGGGCAAATTGAAACCATTAAATTTCTCATTCTTCTTTGAACTCCACCTCCACTGTGCCTCTCACGTGCAAGGCTCGCCACGTTGATGAAGTTGAGCGCGAGCT